TGATTTAATTTTGCATACTGTTTAATTAAAAGTCTCGATTAATACGATTAGATATGAAAATCAATTATTTTTTATAATTAAATTAAATCTGGATCTTTGTAATATATATAAAGGGCGAGATACTTTAATAAATTCCCGTGCGACGGTTATTGTGTAAGCTGCGAATATGAGGAATCGGAAAATCAATTTTTCCTTACATTAATGATCCGGTATATCGTTAAGGTATTTCCGCCTACTTTATAACGTAGGCGAGTGTATTGAGAGAGAAAAAGAGAAAAAGAAAGAGAGGAAAGGAAGAAGGGTGAGGGAAAGGGAGGGAGAAAACTGAGGGTGGAAAAAGCGTAGCGGATTAAATTGGAAGCGGAAAATGTGTGTGTGTGTGTGTGTGTGTGTGTGTGTGTGTGGAGCACGGCATTAATATATCGCCATTACAATATATTTTGCTATCTCCGTGTTATACAACGTGATACTACTACTATTACTATTGTCAGTGCTATCCATTACACGATCAGTATCCTCGCGCCTTACTATTCGCATTTGGTGGGGAAAAATTCGAGGTCGCCTATTCATTCCCCTACCTTGTGATCGTCGATGAGCATCCACATAGGAGGATGGTGACCCAACGAAGTAAGAGAAGGATTTTCTAAGCGCATGTTCCAAGATCGCCGCGAGTCAAATTATCGTAAAGCATCAACAGATTTTCCAGGAAATATCGGATTACGAGTGTTTTAGCAAAGTGAAAATTAGTTTAAATCGCATAGGAGATCGTTACCTTTCATATATACATACATTTTCACTCACAGATTTTATCGCTGCCATTATCAGTGAAATTTTAGTCGCATTAATTTTCATTTCATAACCTTTGATGTTCCCGACGATATAGAATTATTTCTCTGTAAGTGACATCGTTATTACGTTGATTTTCCATTCTTTCGAGTGAAATAAAATACGAGATACCGCGATTAATATTAAATAAAATCCCTCAATTAAAAAAAAAAAGTCTTTTCTGCGAGATATCTCCTACATCTGACTTTTTTCTACGCTGGTTTCTGCTTTGTCAGATTTGTTATTACATTTCGATCTTTACGAGAGAGATAATATATAAGATTGCTGTTCAATGGGAATGACATTGAACATTTAACGATTGCGATCGTAGCATTCAACGTCTTCTTTCGTTCAACATCGCTTCGCGTTTTTCACGAAGAGATGCCCCTCCAGCTGAAAAACGACTCGCATTATGTCAACGAGAGCACGATGATATAAACTACTTTGGAAAGTGCATTACCGGCGTTTCTCACGTTTGTCCTGCGCCCCAGGCTTATTTATCGCTCCGGAGGCGAGTCGCTAGCTTCGAGTCGCAGCTGCTGTCTGTAATGGAGTTGCGTATCATCGTCATATGTGGAGCAAGAAGTTGGCACGATGGGGAAGTAGTAGCCAACTCGAGAACAGATGTGACGGAAGGATGAAGAACCTCGAGAAAAAGCAAATACTATGTATATCGAGAGCATAGCGAGAAAAGTAGCGGAGAAGGGTGAAAAAAGAGTGAATACACACATCGGGGATAAAAAGTTATCATTAGGGACATAGTGGATGACACGGAAATCGTGTAAAAATATGCGATGCGCAAATTGATATCGAGTGGAGAGACGAGTAAGAACACAACAGTAGTAAAATGAAGTAAGAAAAGCGGATAAGGAAGTGAGATACGCGCGGAAGTAAGACGAGATATCGTCATGATAGAAGAAACGAATGATCGGAACGACACTTTGATGCATGGAGAATGAAACGCGAAGTGCGAATCAGAAAGAAATCCACTCTTACGAATCGCAAAAATCCGTTCTGTCGTGGAAAAAAGCGCGAACAAGGTTGCCGCTGTCGTGTGAGGTGAGATCGACGGAGAAATCGCGCGACCGCTGACACTCGTAAGTGAAGTGCCAGCGACTGCAATAAGAAGTAAACGAAACGGGGAAAATCCAATTGAGGGTAGCCGCGACTGGGAAGAGATAGAAGGCTGGAATTGTTGGGGAGAAATGAGAAGAGGAAGGGAGAGCGAAAAAACACGAGAGAAAGAGAGAACGAAAATACGTCGCGAAAAAATTGAAAGACATGTGTAAAGCGATACGAGAAGTATGAAGAGCGCCGCTTAAGGCAAAACAGGCACTTTGCGTAGCTAAGAAAAGTTCGGAGAGAATGCAAAGATAATTAAGAAAAAAGAAGGAGGAAAAATGCTTAAAGGAGAGACAGAATGGCTGATGCGCCAGGAAGCGAAAGGAAAGAAAAGAGGCACGATCCTACGTAACTCAGACTAAGCGAAAAGGCGCGAACGAGATTGCCGAAACACTCGGAAATACCTGAAGAGAGAGGAAAAGGGTAGGAACGCAAGTACGGGAATCAGAGATCGCCATCAGGAGGATAGAGGCGGAGAGGAAAGGAACGAAAACAGGGGAGCCAGGAGGACACCGTAGACAGCAAGGACCAGGGTAATGAGAGAAGAGAACGAGGTGAAAAGAAATGGCGAGCGCGACAGAGAGCGGAGGAGAGACACCACGTTTAGTGGTATGTTGCGAGGGGGTAGGAGTGCCGTAGAGAGAGCGCGTAGAGACGGGACGTAAGAGGGAGACGAGAGGAAGGGGTGGCTGTGCGAGAAGAGTATGTACGTTGAGGGAGGTAGAGGGGGTGAGGTGACGTCACGCCGGGTCGATACTCACTCATACTACTCGGCGGCGACACGGTAACCTCCCGGCGATGGCGCACGCGCGCCTTTTACCCTTCTCACCGAGACTCGTACTCGTTCCTGAACGCCGCTTCCCGCCATATTAGCCACCATGGGGTAGGCGAGAATGTGCGACAGGGGTGGCTCGGGGTGTTTCTTCTTCCGAAAGGTAATCCGCGCGTAATCTCTCTTTCTCTCTCTCTCTCTCTCTCTCTCTCTCTCTCTTTCTCTCTCATTCTCGTTTCTTCATTCTCCGTCACTCTCTTTATCATCATTCTTTTTCTTTGTCGCACTCGTATCCTCATCGGGCATTTAGCTATGCTACGTCTCCTACGCGCGCCCTTTCGCACGGTTCGCCGATCACGTGAGACCGGAAGGAGATTGACGGCTTGCGGAAACGCTCGAGAAGAGGGACAGGTCGGAGGAAAAGACCCGCCGGTGTCTTCGCAGTGCTAACCGAGGATAATTCGCGCACGCATGGGACCGCCGGCGCCGCGAGGAGATAGTACGACACGCGCGGCGGACGGGTTCGCCCGGCAGACGGGTGAGACGGAGAGACGGAAAGAGAAGACGGACGGGATACGGGGGTGGTGGGCTGCGGGAAGGAAGGGCGGCGAGGAACTCCAGGAACCGCCGCCGCCAGGTAGCGAAAGAGGCTGTAAATCGGCCACGGCAGCGTGGATGTCCCTGCTGTCGCTCTGCGACCGGATGTGCGGTACAGCCGCGTGGCTCGTCCCGGTCACATGCCTCCGCGGGGTGCGTGTAACACGGTTCATCTTTTGCGCTATTCTCCCGGCCAACCGCAATAATCCCGACTAGTCGTTAATGTCTCTTGAGTGCGCTGACAGCTGAACGAGCTTACTTGAGACGCGTGCAATTGGTCCAAGGTTTCTTTATTTTGTAAAAATCCTGAGTTTTATGTAGGAGAGAGAATAATTCTTTCGTATCCTACGTTATAATCAATGCGCGCGCGCCCGCAAAGATTTACGACAGCGTTTATGACGTTGAAATGTGGCAGATGGATGATTTTAAGAGCGGCGTTATAATCAATGCGCGCGCGCGCGCGCGCCCGCAAAGATTTACGACAGCGTTTATGACGTTGAAATGTGGCAGATGGATGATTTTAAGAGCGCGTGTGATTCGATAAGAATGTGCTTCTCTCGATAGTCTCGATGAGATGTGCATCCGGATGAAATCACGGTCAATAAACATGAGGATTTACGGTGCTTGTGTTATGCCAAAGTGACAGATTGATGAGTTTCCGTGAGACACCGCTTGCTTCGTTAACGGCCTCTCGTGCTTCTGAGAGGATCGTGATGGGTTTTAGATTTAGATGTCGCATTTATACATCTCGAATAAATAAATAATATTTTAGATATTCCTTTCTTCGATTAAATATTCCGTAATCTCATTGTAGCGCACATGATCGCATAATCATATTATGTTAATCGGATTTATCATGTTGATTGAAATTAATACGAGATTTTCAAAAATTAAGGCCACCCACTTGAAAAATGTTATTGTACTTAAAGATGCATAATTTTTGCCGCTTACTTTTATCAAATACATCTTGTCGATCGTGTTGATAAAGGATTTGATTTCTTTATTAAAAGTAATTAAATAAAAAAATATAACATATTTATAAAAAGGAAGAAATTTGCTTGCATTCGATAAAACCAATGAACATTTTTGTAACAAAATTTGTTCATCCATTTTGTAACATAAGATTTATAAAAAATATCATATAATTTATTATATATATTTTAAGTAAATTGATTGAATTAATTAGGAATTTTTGCTTCAAAAATGCATGTTCATATCGTAATAGGTTACGTATTTGTGAAAAATATTTTTCTCCTCTATGGTTTTTTTCTCTCTCTCTCCCCTCTCTTTCTGTCTCATGCATTCTAAATAATCTATTATCATTTTATTAATATTAGCAAAATCATACAAGCTTCTAATGCACTGTGGTCTTAGATAATATAAGATGTCCACGTTATGCAATTGCTAATAAAATATGCCATATATGTAGTTGATTTGTGGCATATGTAATTTGACTATGATTATCGTTGATTTAGATCTTGATTAATCCGTTTTTGATAAAAAGATATCGTTTAAATTATCTCGAAATCATCTTATTGCCAACAGCAGTGCTCCATTTCAACGACACGAGATTTTTTTTTTGGTCGTCATTCATTCATCATTCTCTGTGTTATTAATTGCAGTAATTAGCCTAATTTGTTTTAAGATTAATCAATAGTGAAAATAATCGGTCATTGTTTTCTAGGAGGGCCGGGGGGAAGTGACAGACATAAGCGCAAGTCCTGGGAGGCAGGCACCTGCCAACCAGTTGCGCCCCAAGGAACCACCCCCCATGGTCATTCAAGGAGACTTCAGGAAGGTAGGTGACACTTCATTAACTCGTTGCCGATACAATGGATGAATTTAGTGCTCGTTGCGTCGGCAAACTTCAATTGGCGGATAGTGTGACGATAGATTCCGACATTCTATTGTGTTGCTCGTGAAGTTATCTCGACGACTGGTAGAAATATGTTAACACGTGCTTTAGTCGTTATGCATTATCCACATAATCTGATCGCTATTATAATAACATACAAAATATAAATTAAATTATTCTGTTTCCGATCTTTGAATAAATAAGCAAAGTAGAAATGTAAAATATAATATCTTACTCCGCTATAGATACCAAGAGAGCCAGAAATTGTTTTTAACAGATATAAAATTTTACTTTGTTTAAATAACATTTTGTACAATTAAACTAATTTTATTGGACTATATCTTTCTCCCTACATATTTATGTAGCCGATTATATAATTACCTCACTTTTTATAGTATATTCTTTTATTTAAAATTTTTGAGAATTTTGCTGCATCATAAAAATTATGAATAATATGGCAATGAATTAAAAAGTGTTGCTTTTGTCGTCGAGACAATTTCATCGATCCACGCACCGATGATAAACCTTCGCTATACATTCGATAAAACAGAAGGATTTACCATTGCAGGTGAGCGGGATCAGTACAGAGATCTTCAAGCAGATCGAGACTGTCGAAAACGATCATGACGCTTCGACAGCGGCGGCCCTCGAAGCTGTCGAACGAAGAGGCGAGATGGTCGTGCGTGTCATTGAGCCTCGGCAAATGGGTAGACAGGCTTCCGAGGCGGCGAAAAAATTTATCGCCATGCAGGTATGTTATCGATGGACCATCTGTTTCCGACAGATTATGATTCATTCGCGTTGAAACGTAATATCTTGTCATAAATTAGTACTACACGCGCAGTGTTCTTTTATTATCGTATTACTTCTATCTGTTCACCGTATTTTTACCTCTTTATTAATTTTTTATATAATTTAATTACAGAATAATATATTGCTATTTTATATCTTATCATTGTTTGGCGATAGAAAAAAAAACGTGTGAAGATATACACGTGTAAGGTAAATGTCCCAATGGCCGGACATGTCCCAATATCCGACCACATTGAAAAACAAAATTTACCATTTATTTAAACAATTATGAATGAAAATAATAATTATTGTAAAAAAACTCCAACATTTGACCATTAAACTCGCCGGACGTATGTGCAAATAATAATAAAAAAAGATAAAAAGAAAAACAGGGAACAAAAAAGACTGTAAAGAATTAAAGAAATTGAAGAAAAGAAAACAGAGAGAGCTGAAATGGTCGGACACTGGGACAAGTTATGTCCGGATACTGGGCCGTAATCTATTTCAGCTGTCCGGCCACTGGTACATTGACGCGTTCCATTACTTATGTAAATATTTAATTAATAATTGATATATATGGGTTCGAATAATTTTTCCCTGCTTATGGGAATCTTAAGCTTTCGATTGAATGCAAATATTTATATTAAAAATCTTTCTAATATTATAAATTGTATTATTTGTCACAACCTACGCTTAAACGTCCGGCCACTATAGTTTTAGAGACACAGACACACACAAGCAAAACTCAATGTAAAGGAAATAGGCTATACAAATGCAGAAATGCATAATTCAAATATTAAACTGGATATGAAAATTTAAATTAAAGTTAAACGCAGATTGAAATAAAAATTTGTGTCTCAATTTGTTTAATTTTTGTGAATAAGTTTTTGTTATCTTTAATAATAACTATAACAAAAAACTGATAGTGTGGCTAGCAAACAAATCGTTGAAATAATATTTGCCGTGAATATAACTTTTGAAACTAAACAAACAGGTATAGCAATATCTGCTTGTATTGCGACCATTTGCCGCACCAGAGCACGGCGAAAATTATTTTCACGACAATGGAACAGTTTTGCGAACCGTTCTAGTACACGCAAACGCTGTGAGATATTTTAATCGTACGAATTAAAAATATGTTCGCTTGCGATCTTCGTTTCAGGATCCAAAGTACCCTATCCACTTTGTCGAGATAATCAAACGACCAGGACAGACTCTCGGTCTCTACATACGCGAGGGCAATGGCGTCGACAGGAACGACGGGGTTTTTATTTCCAGGATAGCTCTGGAGACTGCCGTTTACAATAGTGGCTGTTTAAAGGTGAGAATCCTCATCTTTGCCTTGTCCTGCAAATTTTCACCTTCTGTCGCCGCGGCAGGGGGATACCGACCGACGTGACGAAGAAAACGAGGCGGAGCACTAAATCGTCCTTTCGCCTTTCCTATTTTTTTCTTTTTCTGTCAAGCGAAAACTTGATTGCCGCCGTTGCTCGAAACAAACTGGTCATTTAAGAACGGAGTCTATTTCGGGACGCGGTTTCGGTGGCGCGCGAAAACGCGTCGAATTAAATTTATACTTTTGCACCTTGACATTTCGCGAGTCGGGCATCGATCGTACATGTCCGCATTCGGAGGGAGGATGTTTATTCTCTCGTTTGTCTCGCGGCTAGATCGTTTTCTGTGTATAATTATCAGTTATCCGCCATCATGCATTCGCACTTACAGGTGGGCGATGAGATCCTGGCGGTGAATCTGGTCGACGTGACGCATATGAGTCTAGACGACGTCGTCATCATCATGTCGATACCGAGGCGACTCGTTTTGGCCACAAGACATGGTTCACATCAACCGGTTTCACATGTTCGCCAGACTGAGCACAAGGCACCACCCGTGGTAGTAATCAAGAGGGAATTGAACGAGGACGAGAATGACCACGTGACTAGTAATCATGTCAGGTATTGCCTTTGCTGATTCGCCTTTCTTATATCTCGAGTAATTATATATTTTGATAATAGTTGAAAATGACAAGATATCTTTCTCTCTCTCTCTCTCTCTCTCTCTCTCTCTCTCTCTCTCTCTCTCTCTCTCTCTCTCTCTCTCTCTCTCTCTCTCTCTCTCTCTCTCTCTCTCTCTCTCTCTCTCTCTCTCTCTCTCTCTCTCTCTCTCTCTCTCTCTCTCTCTCTCTCTCTCTCTCTCTCTCTCTCTCTCTCTCTCTCTCTCTCTCTCTCTCTCTCTCTCTCTCTCTCTCTCTCTCTCTCTCTCTCTCTCTCTCTCTCTCTCTCTCTCTCTCTCTCTCTCTCTCTCTCTCTCTCTCTAATATTTTAAGATAATAATAATAATAATAATAATAATAATAATTTTTTAATATTATCTAGCGTTTATAATGTAAAAAAATATCATTTTACTTTGATTCATATGTATAATATCATTATTACATATATTATATTATTTATCTCAAGACCATCATCAATTTTTTGTCGTTTCTGCAATCTCGATCCGATGTAGTTATATGCATAGATGTTCTAGACGATGTGGATCGAGCACCATTTCACACCTGTCTGCACCAATTCGATACTTGTTTATCCTTCACTGTCTCCAATGAATGCTACTTTACGACTGAAAAAAAGTGGTGAACTCGTGGCAATGTCTCGGGACACTTGCTGTCGCGATCTCCGAGTCTTTCGGATTATTCGCATTGAAAAGACCGAAGAATAATCCGCGAAACAAGACTTTTTAATATTGTACCGGAAAATGTATATCAAATCATTACCATGATCCCGAAAACAAACTTCCCGCAAAGATAAATGTGAGAAAAGATAAATGTCTGAATTTTTTCCGAACGACGCGGAGGATCGATATATATATATATATATGTATAAGAAACTGTATAAGATATTGACGTAAGGTATTTTTTAGCGGAAGAAACGGGAATATTTATAATTCACAGCGATTTGCAATCTTAAAGAAATCTACTTACGCGATGTTTATGGATTGTGATTAAAACTTTTTTGTGTGATCATATGCGAGTGTAGGTACACCCCTTCTACACGGGGCCCATGATTGTACCGGAAAATGTATATCAAATCATTACCATGATCCCGAAAACAAACTTCCCGCAAAGATAAATGTGAGAAAAGATAAATGTCTGAATTTTTTCCGAACGACGCGGAGGATCGATCCGCTCGCGTACCGACCACGTGTTTCATATGACTAATCGGTTCTATGAATGAATGCTACATTGAAATTAACCAGGATTTTACAAAGGTAAAAACAACACAAACTTTATCTTGATACCTAGACTTGTGTATGATTGCAATTTTTTGTAATGTTTTAATGGACGCGAGTGTATAAATACTCTCCCCTCTCTCTTTTTCTCTCGAATACTTGGCAACAAACGAATGCACGAGTGCACGCATTGCATTTTAAATTCCATTCACCGAACATTAATCACATTCAATTTGAAAGATAAATGGCAAATTTTGATTTTTTTGTTATTTTGTTAGTTTAAAAAAGTTCAAGTAATGATATCAAGACCAGTACGAGAGCCTTTTCAGCTTTGCAGCATGAAAAGATCGGATAAAATGCGATTAATTAGACATGAAAGATTTCAAAAGTTGCACACACACGTATCTTTTATTTTGCTTTGTAACATCTTTTTCGATTGTCGAAAAAAATTGCAGAATAAGTTATATAACAACAATTTATAAGTTATTCATTAATTAAATTGCTTCTCGTGTAATCATAAAAATTGCATTACTAGTAGAAGCTTGTAAAGCTAAAGTTCGATAGAGATTAATAAAAAAGAAAGTCCGCGGGGGACTAAATTATTCTGCAATAGGATATAATTATAAAAGTTAGTAAACGGAACGAGAGATCGCGAAGAGTTTAATAGTAAATGACTGAAATTTTTAATCATTCTCCACGATGCACTAGTGCATTCGTTTAACGAGTTTTGCCTAGAAGAAACGTAATACAAATTAATGGATATTTATATATGTATATATTTAAAACGTAGAAATCGCGTACACCTGCTGCCACTGTTTGTGTGATGTGAACCCTAACTTTATATTTCCTTGCTGTAAGCTTGCTACTTGTTCTTTCGACTGCATTTCCCGTCAGTGTTTTGGATAACGTTATCATGATTGAACGATTATCGATTGCTAGTATATTCTGTGCGTAGTATTATTCCATAAAGCTGTTAAAAACTTTAATAATTTATCAAAGAAATTATATTGTGTAAAACTTTAATTAACTTATAGCATATTTTAAAGAAATTGACATACATATAATTATATGCACAGAATTATATTCTTATAAACTGTATTTTTTCGTATAAAAGTTTTGCGTTTAACATATCATTTTCTGTCAGAATATATACAAGCTATAGCCTAAGTGTAAAATAAATGTCGTTAACAAGAAGCAATCGATGTCATGGATTGTCAGTATTTCTACAAAAACATTATCGTTGTAATCGCTATTATTTTTCATATAAAAATTCAAATTTTCAAAGTTAAAACATAT